ACCCCCACTTAAGTTACAACATTATAAAAATTCCCTATAATTCACTTAAAATAAAATTCATAGTGACGCTTTTACCGCTAATAAAACAAGTAATGCTATAACTATTCTAACCATTTTCCTAAACATCTCCTAAAATCCTAAAAAATATAAAAATCCTAAAATCCCTAGAAAAACTTAAAACCCCTAGAAAATTTAAAAAATACATCCTTAAAATTTACTAAGAGAATTTCAAAAAAAAAAAACATATCTTGTCTTGCATCATTCTCCCCTGGTTGGAGAAAACTCATGCTTGAGTTTTGAAATAAACTAAGATGAATTTTGCATTAGTCCTGCAACCTCCTTCAACCAGAATACTGAAAACACGGTCCTGGGACTTGTGAGTTGTTGGACCACTCAAAATACAATGGTTGTGCATTGAAACTGAGTCTTTGCAAATCAGTTGATATATCCACAAACACTTTTGAGAATCCCTCGAGAAAAGGGTCATTATATGTCGATGAAACAACCGTGATATGTACACTTGGTTCAATCACATTAACCAGCTGATATTGCATAAATATAGCCCTTAAACCTGCTCAAATTGTCTTTGTTTAGCCCTAAAACATATCAAGGGAGCATCTTTGAGATGATCATCTCCAACCCCTAGTTCACTAACCAAATCAGCAACTTCCTCTTCCAAAACATTTTCATCTTCATCTCAACCATTGACACCTTCCTTGTTTTCATGGGGTTCTTGATAAAAAATTAGATCACTACCTTCTTCATCTGAACACTCATCAAATACTCGTTGAGAGTCCCAATCAATACCTTGCTGATTTTGGAAACAAATTGATGAAAAATTCTTCAGGTTTAACTAGTCTGCCTCGTCTACTACTCAGGGTGCAATCATGCTGCACCGGATCACCAATGCCTCCCCATGATCTATAGGTCACTTCCAGATCCTCTTCATCGATCCGCTCATTGTAGATGGGATCACCTTCAAAAAAATGCTTACTTTCCTCATCATAAAACTCCTCAGAAAGGTTAAATAACTTGCGATCTGGTCACTATGATGAGAAATGTCCAATCCTCCTACACTTGTAGCAATTGATGCCGCTACCAGAACCCCATTGGGTCGCCCCACTCCTGAAAAAGCCCCTTTTTATCCAAGGCACCTTGCTGGTTGGCTGTTCTGCAGTGCAAGAGTCGAACCAGCACCAGTCACACCGCCTTTTCTTCCAAAATCACCACCATGGACTGCTGCCCTATTTCCCCCATCACTCGTACTTGCACCCCATTTGTTTGAGGATCATTTTTGCTGAGTTTCAACCCTCTTTGCAAGGTTATAGACCTCATCAAGGGTCCAATGCCACTACCAAATTACCACTTCTTGGATTGATTGGCGCAGTCCATTCACATACCTAGCCATGGACTACTCCTACCGCACAATCACATCACTACGGGCAGTCAAAAGGTGAAACTCATCTGTGTATTCATCCACCGACCTATCTCCTTGCGCAACACATGCATCTTTTGGTATAAAGACTGCAAATAATTTTCAGGTAGATACTTTTCCTTTAATTACTTTTCCATCTTCTCCCAAGTGTTACTTTTGGGTTTTCCCATTCTCTCGTCTTGCTGCTCTCAGTTGTAAACACCATACCGAAGCACCTTTCTTCAATGTAATCACAATAATCTTTAATTTTTTATTCTCTGGCACATCCTAGTAATCAAAGATCCTCTCTATTGTATTTAACCAGTCTGTAAAGTCGTTGGGCTGCGACTTTCCTTCAAAATCAGGAATATCTACATTTGAATCTATGGAGTTTGACTGTCGTCCATACCTCTGATCATATTCCTCTTCACTCGACTCATCCCACGGAGCACAATAATAGTGAGAACTTCACCTCGCCCACTATCGCTGCCTGCAAGCCGCCTTGTAAGTTCTTGAACTTGTTGTCTCAAATACTCTATCTCCTGATCCTGCTCATCACAAGGTGGATCCATATGAATACCTTTGCCTCAATCTCTTCTAACTGCTATAAGTTCACTGAATTCACAAACCCTAGGAAGAGAACCAACAAAACCTAGCTGAAATCAGCAAGTTCTAGGCTGTTTGGCGAAACTTGGACGAAGAGCAGAAATCCCTATACTTGTAGTAGATTCCTAGCTTTGTTGATATCGAAAACCTTGGCTCTAATACCAATTTTCTGAAGGAAAATAGCGAAAAAAAAGCAAAAACAGTTCAATAATCATCAAAACAAACAAGATCTGAGTGGATCTGGCTTTTCTTGCATAAAAAAGTGACCTCAAAACCCTAAATAGGGCTTGCTAGCACCATTCACAATCTGTTTTTATTGTTCACGTCCCAAAAGTGTTAAACCCTAACACCCCATGTCGTTTTATTACATAATGATAAAAAAACCAAAACTACCCCGACTTAAGTTAAAATATTATAAGAATACCCCATAAGTCCTTTCACTTGAAATAAAATTCATAGTGACACTTTTACCCTTAATAAAACAAGTAACTCAAACCTTTTTTTCTTTTTATATATATTGTCAACATTGTATAGATGAAATAGGAGTTACAAAAAGTTCCCAAAGTGAAAAACAACAAAAAGGTCACCGAGGAGGGTGACTAAAGGAAAGAAAAATGAGAAACTCCTAGGAAACTAGAGGGGGGAAAGCAACACACAGAACCCAAAAAACGACCACGACCAAATACAATTAATAAATGCGATATATCCGAGGCACCTCCAAGTTTGGCAAGATCATCGGCGACTTGGTTGGCCTCCCTCCATATATGAGTCCATGAGACTTTTGTATGCCTTCAGAGATCATAAAGATTATCAAAGATATGTCATAGTCTCCACGGTGGTTGTGTGGTGGAACAGGCCCAAGAGATGATACTTTGGGAGTCCCCTTCTACTAAGAGTGAGGAGCCCCAAGAGCTGTCGAAGCATCTAAGACCTTTGAGGAGGACACAGGATCCTACCTCAGTCGAGTCGGCAATCCCAATAGGCAAGTAGTAGGAAAGGAGGGAGAGACCCTCGAAATTTCTAAAAATTACTCCAATTCCTGTCGAACAAGGTTTCCCAAGGAAGAACCGTCAAAGTTGAGCTTAATGCTGCCCCTCTCAAGAGGCCTTCAAAAAGCCGAGCGTGGCACCTTCCTCGGTATTGAACTGAGGATGTTGTCCTAATTCACTTGGAAGACAAAGGCGGGAAAGAATTTGAAGTAGTTGTGGTTTGTGGCCCAAAAAATTATTGAGGCCCTTATGGTGTCCCTAATCTTATGTGTAGGTGCAAATTGACCCCTGGAAGATTCTATTATTGCGTTCCTTCCATATCGTCTAGAGGGTTGTAGCTACGGTGGCTTTCCAAAGTAAGGAACCAGATAGGGGCCATGGGAGGAATATCGAAAGATTGTAAAGTTTGAAAAGAGGTTAGAATAGTCCCTCCTCTAAACATCTCCTAAAATTCTAAAAGATATAAAAAATCCTATGATCCCTAGAAGAACTTAAAACCCCTATAAATTAACCCCCAAAAAATTCCAAAACTACATCCTTAAAATTTACTGAGAAAAATTCAAAAATAAGACAAATCTTGTTTTGCTTCACGCTTCAAGCCATTGGCCAATGGGCAAAAAAAGGCCCTCTACCAAAGGCATTCAAGTACTTCTCTACCCTCTTTAAAGGGGAAAGGGTTGGGGAGCATTGCAATCCCCCAAAACCAATTTGCCCCTCTTTAGCAAGACAAAAACTACTTAAAAAAAAGAGATTCTAGATTGTTTCCAAGATTGAAATTTTTTTCGAACTTTTCCAAGACTTGTATTTTTTTCCAAGATTGAAAATGTTTTCCAAGATTTTTTCCAGTTTGCCTCTCTTGAAAGGTTAGTGGATTTAAATCTTTTGTTTAGGGTATGTTGATTTATATGAATTTTTTTTTTTTTTTGCTTATTTGTTTTTTGGTCTCATAACTGATTCCAAGTTTATGCTTGAATTTGTGCTTCCTATTCATGTGCGGGTTTGGGTTTGCGACCAATGGCATTTTGTTAAGATCTGGTAACCTAATCTTAATGAAATTTCACAGAACTTAATCGAAATGGTAACCTAATCTTAATGCATTTTATTGGTTGGTCATTTGGTCTTATATTTGTCTCTTGATTGAAAAGGACAAATTATGTGATTTTCTTTTCTCATTTTGTTTTTGCTCCATTGTTCTTGTACATTTTCTCTTGTTTATTGGTGTTGATGAATTAATAATGTCAAATGCTGATTTTGGGAAATGGCCATCTATTGATCGTTTTAGTTCTTTTTTTTTTTGTCAAAAAAAAAAAAAAATTGTGTATCAAGGACATTAGATAAGGTTTCCAAGAACAATTTGTGGGGTATGACTTCCAACCAAACCCCTAGAGCCCAACTTCAATGGACGGGCCGCCTAAGGAATTAGGCACCAACCCAGTTGCCTAGGTGGCCTGGGACCCTGGCCGCCTAGGTGGCGAGTCTGGATTTTTGAACATTGAGAATGAATTAATTTATAAAGTGATATACCCATAAAGAATACAACAAAGACGTAATGAACTCATTGTGCATAAACTAAACAAGAATTGCCAATATTTATACCTCCAAAGAATGACAAAACAAGCCAAAAGTATACATTATAAACTGAATATAACATAGAAATCTCATAACTCTCTCAAAGGCTTCCTACCTGGAAGCTAGAAACAACGTCAACAAATAGTTAGCGACAATAAAAATGAAGAGCGACTTGTAACATCTTAACATCAATCTGATATTCCATGTTTTATCTATGATTTTCAATCTGAGGACCGAAATGACAATTATCGAAGAAATTTTGAAGCAATTCCATCAATCAAAAGAACCAATAAACAAATTGAATATGCATAGAAGATGATGAAAACTGAGCAATTTCAAGTGACTCATTCATAGCGATAACCAAAACCAAACATGATGCAACAATTGATTATTCCATATACTTGCAGAGGCTATGAACATACCTGCAAGAAACCAATGGCTTTTCCATCTTCTCGCAAGTCCCAAAATTCATGCTTCAACATAAAAAGTAAAATAAATAAATAAAGCGAATTTCCAAGGAATGAATAGTTCACATCTGTCATTGGCCAGTTTTCAAAAGAATGCAAAGAGAAGGAAATAAGACTAAAAGGAAATTAGGTCCAAGGCATTCCTACATACAATGGCACATGACTAGTCCCAAACACTAGCCAGTGGAGCAAGAAGCAACCCATCTCACCAGTGTTTGATTACTCCAGCTAGCCAACTCAGACTCACCCGAGTTATTGGGACTCAGGCCTGGGCTGAGTACCCGGCCCGAGTCGATCTTTCCAACACTGCATCTCACAAACAAGCATACCACTGAACAAAACAAGCCTAACTAAATAAACAAGTTGATATCTAATAAATTTGTAATTCTGGCAACTTGAAGAAAATGAAAATAGAAAATGTTGTTAATCGCACTCGATAATTAAAAAAGATCCCCACATATCATCTCAATCAAGATTCCCATGAATACCTCATATTTCCCTTTCATCATATCCAATATACACTTGGCCACATCCAAAACAATAAAGATTGAGAAATGTTAGCATAGCAAGTTTCCTTCACAACTTGTTACATTAATAGGAGAGAGAGTTTGTGATTTCACGGAGAGATAACAGCCCTCAATAATGCAGCAATTAGAATGACTGACAATTAAATTACGAAATACCAAAAATTAAAGGATTATCAAAACCAAAAACATTATTTCAGAAACACGACCAATGAAAAAGAAAAAGGCATCGATTTTGTGAAACATTTACATTATTTTCCCCCACATACGAAAATTAGACTTGTTAGTTATAGAAAATAAATATGCATGTCAAGTCTCAATGAACACAGAGAGAGAGAGAGAGAGAGAAATTGTAACTTACAGCATCTCCTACCACTGCTATACGAACAGGGCGCAGGCGAGGAGGAGGGGGAGGGGGAGGGGGAGGGGGAGGGCGAGGGCGAGGGCGAGGGCGAGGGCGAGGGGGAGTCATGGGGTTGGCAGCAGAAGAGGAAGATGAGGTGCCAAAGAAGAAGCACGTTGAAAAGTTTGAAGCTCGCATCCGCTTAAAAAACTCACACTCCGCCTTGTTGTTGATACAACTGCCGTTGATTAATATATATGACCGCCTATGCTATGGCCTCTGTACAGCTTTACTCCATAGACTATTATTTTTAAATAAAAAATTTGAATTTTGGGTTCTTCAAGTTGAATCCTCTGGAAATTATATGAGCATGTATTGGGATGCCTTTTTTTAGGCATTTTAAATTTTATTTTATTTTTTTTGCAGTTGGTTGATGGGTTCTAGCTATCATTATCATCGTAGTTTTTTTCTAATTAATTAGAGTTGGCTACACGAATCTTGATCTGTCATTCGACTATTTTAATGGTCATACCCTCAGGTCATAAATCCTTGTATCTTTTCAAACTACTGCAAACCACGTCATTTTGGACCTACCTTTTGAGATTTTAAGTCCTTCCACTTGAATTAATTCAATGCCACACATGGCCAGCCCACTTAAATCTACTCTTTCACTTATCGTCTATTAGTGCCACGCATAAATTCTTCAGATTCATTTCAAATTTTATCCCTTCTTGTCTTGCTACTCATCAATCTCTACATCCTCATCTAAGCTACACTCATTCTATGAGTATTGTTTCTGTCTGGCCAACATTCCGCCCCATAGAGTAAAGCTGGTACGATAATTGTCTTATAGAACTTGCCTTTCAACTTCATTGGTATGCGGCGATCATATAAAATTTTAATTGTACATCTCTACTTCGTCCACTTAGCTCTAACTCTATGTACAATATCTTCTTCAATCTCTCTATTTTCTTGGATTCTAGATATCACATCTCCAAATTTTGAGATCCAACAGATGTTATTAGTCTAAATTTTGTCAAGGAGAGAGGATATATACCTCTCGAGGAAAATATTTTGGTAATATAGATATAAACTCCTCCTCGTTGAGGTGCAGAGTTACCATTTCATATATCCTACGGCAGCATATAATCTTTTTTGGAAATATTATATACTCTTTGTGTCGGGCTCAAGCTCAACCCGTTCCCCTAACATATTTGTGCCATCGTGCTTCTATGGAGCAATGTTATTTATTTACTCTCCCGGATAAAACACCCAAGAGTAATTTTAGTACACCAACATCTCGGGATGCAACCTCTTCAACACACAAACAATCATTAGAAAAATAAAAATTAAATTAAATTGCACTCTTTATATTCTGGAAAAGAATACAAGATTATATAATATGATATTTATTTTTAGTACAAGGAGGTCACAATTATTTTTAGCCATTGGATGTGAAATCTAATAAATGAAAGTGTGTCACAACCAGTGATTTAAAAAACGGATCAGTGACCAAGATCTGGCATCACAAAAACTAATCTAGATCGGTGAGTCAGCTATCCGAATCGCCATTTTGAGATGCAGAAAAATAGTGAAACAACAAAAAAATACGTATAAAAATAGTGAACCAACCAAAATTCAACCCGGATCGATGAACCGACCTTTTTATTATAGCAAACAACTTTTTTACTGTAGCAAATTGTCGGTTCCCTTTTAGACCCGAATGATTCCCTATATCTTGACATAATCGGTACAGGGTGACCGATTCCCGAGTCAGACTGGGCGATTCCGATCCGACCCAGCATTTTTTAAATCACTGGTCATAACATTTGATAAATTTTATTTTGAGCTTTGCTCCCAAACAATGACGCATAACGGTTAATGATGATTGAGATCTCTTTATATCAAAAGTTATTGGTCTCGTCCTTTACATTTTCAAATAATAATGTCACTATATTAAATATTGATTGTCCAATTTTTTGAAACTAAGTGTCCAAAAAATTAAAATTAAAATTTTCTCTTTTGAAAATAATCATCTAATAATTTTTATGTAGTTCCTGAAATTTCAAATTCTAAAATATCCTCCAAAATAGATCTGAAGGAGTAGGTGTACAATATGCTCCCATGAGAGCATAGTATATGTGCTCTTTAATCTCGTAGTGAAGATAAACTAAACGCCGGAAATTAGAATAAACAAATAACAAAGGAAAGAGTGGAAGAAAAACAGAAAATGGGGGAACATGGAAAATAGAAAATAGGGAAGAAAAGAAGCGGAGTGGGGATAAATATATTGGGGGGTTGTATAGTAGTATAATGCAACTATTTTCAAAAATCATGTTAGGGATATTTGTTTGACATGAATTTTTACATGTACAGTCTTTTCATTCTAAAGAACAATCAACAAAAAAAAAAAAAAAATGCTCTAGAAAGTTTTCATTCTAGCCCAATTAACATAAGCCGTCCATTTTATTGAGATGGTTAGTTATAGGCCTCAAAAGGATTCTTTTATTCCCAAAATTTTTATATAGTGTTATCATCATTAGATTAATAATGCTAAAAAAGATAAAAATGATTTTGAATTTGTTAAGGCCTAGATTTTGAAATTCACAAAATGGATTGTCGAGATTCATTGTTGGATGGGTATTAATTTTGACCATATCTAAGGTACAAATTGAAAAACAAATTGATAGGATTGATTATGAGGATGAAGAAAATGTGTGTGGAAAATTTGGGGTCATACAAATGCCAAAAATATGGTTTTCAAGTGGTCTGGTTGCATTATACTACTATACAACTGTTGCATTAGATCATTTTCCAAATATATTACTTTAAAAATATTTTCAAATAAAAATTGCTCTCATTTTCATTATAGAATAAACAGAACCAATGTATTTTTTTCACTAGGTAAGTGCAACCCATCACTGAAAAGAAAATTGAATAATTGAATAAAATAAATAAAGAGAAATCTAAACTTGTAGATCATGACTTTACATAGTAGAAAGACAAGGATGTAGTAAGAGATTAAAGCGTGAAACAAATTGAATAAAAAATCATGCATATTTAAGAATCATTTACAAGACGAAGTGCTATGATCAAAATCACCCAAAAGGAAAAGAAATTTAATAAGAAAAAATGAATGAAAATTTCTTTTTTTTTTCCTGATTCCGTTAAAAGATGGCGAACTAATTAATTAAGCGGCCAAGTTTTCTCTTTTTGAATGTTAAGATCCTAAGAATTTAAGAGACAAAGCAGTGGATGAGATGAAAGCCATCTCTAAGAATGAAGGAAAATATGAACTAAGAAACTAATTATATGACTAGAAAAATAATGAAAAAATTAAAGAATAAAAATTTGAATATGAGGTACCTGAATCAAAGAGCTCTATCGTGAAAACTTTTGCCTCTCTCTCTACCTCCCCTCGAAAGCTATTTGTGAAAAAAAAAATTCTGTCTTATTTGTCTTTCTCTCTACCTTCTTTTTTTTTCATTACAGTTAAAATTACATATTTATTTTATATTTATCATGGTCATATTAATAACATAATTATTTTATAATTTTGGAGTTTTTTTTGGAGTCTTGATGATATTGATAAGGTAGTCAGTTACAATATTTTGGCGCCATTGTTTAAAATTTGCATCAATACTTTTAGAAATAGAGCATTAATATTATTCATAATAAAGAAAAAACTTTCATGATTATGGATTTTAAGGGAGTACATTGTATCAAGATTTCAAGAAAATTAAAAGAGTAGGCACCCATGCTCTGATTCAAGTGAAGGTAAAAAGGAGGGAGAAGGTAACCTCTCCAGACTGCCCTTGGATTGCATATTTTTTTTGTTGTAATCAATTCAAGAAAACATGCCTCTAAAAGGTACTAAATTGAAATGGTACATGTCTTTCTTTCTCAAGGAAACATAGACTATTCCAAAGTAAAAGAAAAGATAATCCCCCCTGGCATGTGGTCCTTTTCAAAAAAATTTATTGTCTCATGCTTTTAACTACAAATAAGAAAAGCTCCAAACAATCAATGAATTACTCTCTATTTTAATATTTTATCTGATAGTCAAGTAGAAATCCATACTATCAAATATCAAGTATGAATCAGTGAGGTTGAATTTCTCAGAGATGCATCTTCTCCATGTGGAACTCTTTTCTTGAAAACAGGGAAAACCCTTTGAATTACAGACATTCTAAACCAGGATTATATTGTGATCGCATCTTAATGAGTAATCACAGTCTAGAAGTTTCAAAAACAAAACAAAAAAAAAGATAAGATAAAAACCTATCTCTTAATGGAAGTGAAAAGATGAAAGAATTTACACCTTGTAAACACTCGATGCTAATTGCTCCAAGAGAAAATAAGGAATAATTTGAACAGATTGCAACAAACATTTGTGTGTAGGTAAAGAGAGAGAGAGAGAGAGAGAGAGAGAGAGAGAGAGAGAGAGGAGTAAGGAGGATAAAACTCTCTAGATCTTAGGAGAAATACAACTATTGAGATTCTCATCGTCATTTTTTAAATGAATAATACCAAGAAATCGAGATTCTCATCGTCATTTTTTTTTTGCAGCTTTTTGTCATTTTTTGGAAAAAAAAAAAAAGAAAATTTAAAAGTTTAATTTTAGTCCAAAAGAATCCTGGTAATTGGAGTTACCCACTCGTGATAAGATAATACCTTATGTTACCTATAACTCATTATTCTTGCGATCTTTTTTTCATAAAAAAATAAATTGCAGGGGCAAAATATGGTGTAAGAAAATATACATGTTGCAATAAATAATTTTCGAATTAGGTTGAGAAAGGATGATGACTCCGTGGAGATGTCATTCAATATGTTAGCACATAATAAATTAGATCGTTTGATCATACGTGCCTTT